TTGAGTTCTAGGAAAACTATAGCATGCACATCCACCCATCTGAAAGAGGTGACGGTTCTAACATACTGCAAATGAAACGGAGGTGGTTCCTCTCTGTGGGGAGCCACTTTATGATGATACCTGGCAGAGAATGTGCAGAACTTCCAGAGCACATAACTGCCCTTGAGGATGGGTCTCCCTACCGATATCTCTCAGTTTCATTCAAAGCTGTTCTCCAGGGTACAACTGTTTAATGAAACAAACCTTTGGAATGTGCAAAAAAAAATGCCCAGTTTAGCCTTTTTTTGCAGAAATTTCCTCTGCATTAAGGATGCTATCATTGGTGATATTCTCTGTTAAGCTGGTTTATGATTCTTGAAAGTGAAGAGAAAAAAAGTTCCATAAAAGCATAGAATTTCTCAACTTGGAAGGGACTCAAGAGGATCATCAAGTTAAGCTCCCAGCAGAAGCAATTTGAATGCTTTCCACAACCAGAAACCGCTATCTTAGGAAAGACTCCTGGATTAATTTGGGGAATTATTTTTTAAGTTTCCACTTTTCAGAAGACAACAGCACTTAGAAAAGACAGGTACAGTCATATTCTATCAACCTGAACGTTTTTTCTTGACTTTATATGGCTGTGCTTACAGCCTGCAGAATATTGTTTTATCTCTAGATCACTAGAGATGGATCACTAGATTCCTAGATCAAATCTAAGAATTTTCCAGTATAAGCTTGGTTCTTGTTGCATTGTGTGTCTTCTAAGGCTTGTTGCTGAATTTTCTTTGTTATTCTGGCGTTGGTATGTAAGAGGCCCTACCTGAATCAGGCACCTCACGCTCAACATGAAAAGCCTTTTGCTTCGAAGGGACAGCAGTTTCCAGTACTGGATGGCACTCCGCAATCTTTTAACTTCGTAACTAATTTAGTCAGACAATATGGTAGAAGGAACAAACAGAGGGAAGTCCCCAAAGTTTTATCTGTTGCAGAAACCAACCAAAGAAAAATGAGTGTCCATAGGCTGGCTAACCAAGCAGGCATGACGTATACGCCAGAAACGACTTCGGCAGTAAGGATAAGAAATGGCAAAATCCAATAAGGGAAAGTGTTCGTGACACATGCCAATGTTGCATTGCCCTGTGACAAGGGATTTCTGCCTATGGAGCTGTACATTTAGTAGATAGAAAATCAGTGAATCAAGCTAAAAAGAAAGCAGGTATAAATTAGTTTGTCTAGAGTTTTGGAAATTTACAGTCACTTCATCCAAGCACCCAGAAGTCTACCTTTCCTTTGCAACTATTTCACTAAATTGACCTTCACCACAAACTTAGCTTCAGCCACCTCTGTTATCACACCGTAATCACAATCTTTTTCAAATCATCATTTTGGTACTGCAGATATTCAGGTCTGATTTTTAATCACTGACATATTAAGCATCAGCAAAATAGTTTGCTTAGCTGTTACGCTGGCAATTTTTAAAAAGGAATGAAAACATGTACCCTTTTGATTACCTTGTTAAAGTGAGCCATGATGGCATTATAGCAGTGCTCAGTATTTCTGCTGTAATTAAGAATCTGTCATATTTTTCATTAAAACACATTCTTTAAAATGAGACTTTTAACTTGGTCATTTCAATCAGCACCAGCCTGAAGTGTAGCATGTGCATGCAACATGCCAACTAGATAAAGAAAATGACATCTGAAATTTGCTTTTGCAAAATGTAAATATTAAAGTGCCCATAACATTCACAGTAATTTATCTATTTTATATACGCATTTTCTATATTTAAAGTACAAAATAGCTTTCTCTTTTTATAATTGGTTTTTGCAGGTTTTCAACACTGCTCTCCACACTGTAAAGCAAACAATGTGACATCAGAGTAAAAAGAATGTTTTGAAATAGAAATAAATGGCTGTTTACAAGGCATACAAGTAAAACTTGACTTTTTTTGTCCTGAATCACACTTTCTAGAACCTGTAAATTAAGTTAGTATCGTCCCACAGATAAAAAGCAGAATTTGATGTTTTTTTTTTTCCAAAATTTAAGACTTAGAGGTTAGTTATTTTAAAAAAAATCTAAAAAAAATTTAAAACATATCAGGGATTTAACACGAGATGACAAAAAAAACCCAAAGCCTGTAGAAGCTTGAAGAAGACAGTCAATTGGAAAGGAACTGCTTAAACTAAATAATCTAATACTGAAATTACTGTAAATACTCCCAATGAAAGTGTTTCAAGCAGTAACAATCCTTTGCAAAGAGTGTCTTTTCTCTTGCAGAAAATTTTTTCGTTGCTGTTGTTGCTATTTTGTTATTATTTACGTTAAACTGGATCCAGTTCTGGTAGGGCTTTTTCCATGACAATGGATTAGTTTGTCTAAGAGGTTTTTATAAAAACTTGAGAGCACTCTTATTGCTGCAGAGGAATATATCAGGGTGTCATATGAAACAGCTCTACCACTTGGGCAGTTGGAGGGTGCATAAGGTCATTGGAAATGACCTGGTCCCAGATGTGAACAGAATCACTGAAATAATATTGGTATCATGGAAGAAGCTGTGCTAAAAAGTATTTAAGATGTCCAACACCTAATTCTTGAATTGTAGGAAGTAAACAGTTTTTACTAGTATTGGGTTTTAGTTGATTAATTGTGTAGGTTCAATAATACGCAAATGGGATATATCACACATCCACAAACCAGAAAATTTATCTTAGTAAAAAAGACAGAATATGACACTACTGTCAGCTCCTAACCATCCATTGTCTCACATTTTCTTCATTGCTTTTAACATATATTTTCTTCACCTTTACAAATGACATTTTTGAAACTATAAAATGCTCTGTGCTGCTCAAACTTTCTTGCTTCAATAGTTTCTCAATGCTGTACAAGTAAAGCTACATCCTTTGTTACTAATATACACAAACCTATTGGTATGTGACTTTGACTGCAGGCTGAGAACAGGCTATAAATTTAGAAATCAATATCTAACTCTATCAATATTCATTTTACTTTTTCAATACAAAATACAAAGGTGAAAGAGCAGTAAATAAGCTGGAGTACTGAAATAAATTGGGTGTTCTTGTCACAATTAATAAATGTTTAACCAATCACACTGCTTGCTATAAAAGTCCATGGCTTTGTAAGGTGTCTGAAAGTAGCAGGTGCTACCCTTGTGAGACTCAAAACCAGGGAACACGTTTCGATACCTGGTTAAGATCACCAGTCATTCTCAGCAGTACTACTGGAGCTAAAGATATAAATGTCCATTTTCAACACTGGGCATATTGCTACAAGAATTAATTTACCAATATAATTTTTTTCAAATGCAGATGAAAATTTCAAAAATACTGTTTTATCAACATATTAGGTGAACCTTTTCTGATTTGCCGCTCATACAGCTGAAGAAAACACCTACAGTTAATGATTCATTTACAGACAGCCTTTCAAGTTTCACTATGGTGTTAAATATGGACAATTATTAGGAGAATGCTTTTTTTATTTCCAGTTTCTGTTCATGTAAACAGCTTTTGTTCTTTCTTTCAAAAAAAAGTTCAAAAATTCTTCTACCTAATATCTAGTCCTCCTATTCCTATATCTTAACTAACTAAAACTCCTGAAAAAAGAACAAACTCAATCCTTCTGCCTAGAACAAAATTGAAATGATTATCTTGAACTTGAAAATAAAAAAAAGGCACACTAGTTAAAAGTTACCCCATATATACCTTTATCCACCATTATTCTCTGTCACTCTTCACATAAAGGCAAACTTTGGGGCAAAACAATCTCTAAAATTGTGAATATATGGATTCATAACATTGAATGACCACATATTTGCCTTAGTATCAAAATATTGGCTTTGCATAGTTACGCAGAGGAGCCAACTTGTAAAATAAAATTCTGAACAGCGAAAGCCCAAGGTAAAATGAATAATAAAATTAATTTCATGATACTTGATACCCTCTCAGTACAAAATGACATCCTCTAGTACTTGAAAGTTTTGAAGTGAAAATCACCTTGTAGAAATAATTATATTATTCTCTCTTCAGCCATTAAGTATCTTTCTTTCTCACTTCACATATGTTCAGAGTCTTAGAAGCTGACCCACAGATTCTCTTTTTTCATACTGGTGCCACTAAGGTGCCTTTATAACATTTTTAATATTATTCCTGGTCTGTTTCTGCCACTGAGATTTGAAGCGAAGAAGTTTCAGGAGAGGGAATTCAGTTGGAATACAAATATTAGGCTTCTCTAAAGACATCTACTTAAAATATATTTGAAGAATTCTATGTGTTGCAAATGTTGCTATAGTAATTTATACATGACTAGGACATGCAAACCAAATTTCCATATTAGCAATATATAAAAAGTCTCACATGGGCACACACACAATCTAATCCTTCTAGTATGCACATATATAATTAACATAACAAACTGATGAGAGTCCTATAAATCACTGCTAAGTATTGAAAAAGTCATTTTGCAGCTGTGACATCAGCAAAATGCATCCAATGGTTGTGACCTTGCATCTGTAAAAATCTTTCACAAATGTGCTTGCAAGTGCTTCCTGTTTAATCTACAGCACTGATTTTAAAGCTGTGTTTCACAGACTTATCACCACATTTTCAATTGTTTGCCCAGGAATTCACATCCTATCTTTATTGTGCAGGATATTTAGAGCATTCATATGCATTCCACACAAAAAAAAGATACCTTATGTCTCCTTCCTTGTAATGCTTGAAGAGACATAAGCGGTAATCTTTGCTGTCTCAGTGCATGAAGAAAGATTTATTCTTTTTAAAGAAGTGCTGTGCTACATAGCACTGGAAATTGGAAATGTTTGAGGGAGAATGAAGAGAGCCTATTTATTTCTTAATCTCTATTAATAAATAAGGATAGAACGTTTCTGAAGTTATATGGGAAGTTACTGAATTTATCAAGCATTTCCTCAGGTCACTGACCTACTGCTTCGTATTTAGAGATTTAACATCTTGTGGTTTGTGCTCTGTCCCAGGGAAATTGGTTACCTGTGGGTCCTGGCAGGGGAGCAGCTTTCCTTCTCCGCTTGATGTCTCCCATGCACAATGACCCCAAATGTACACTGGTTTGCCTGCAAGTAATTATAGGAGAAAACTATTAACAAAGGAAGAAAACTGCCTCATAAATACATATCTTGTATAATCTGAACCTATATCAAAACATTCTCAACCAAGATGTAGATGCACAGTCAAGCCACCAATCTTGTTTATATAGAAATATAATTATGTTTGTTGACAAGCACTCAGTATCTAAATGCAGCATCACAAATTGTTACTGGAATGAATAAATATAAAGGGAATGCTTTTTAATTTTAAAAACTGGCAATCTTTCTAGCTCAACATAAAACAAAACCACTGTTGCTCCTGACAGGAAAATAGCTAAGATTAATTATCTAAACAGATCACAATACTGTTTGTAGGTTATCAATTGGCTAGTAATCCTTGAATGCCAGAGCAGCATTTATTATATGGAAAATTTTATCAATTTTTTGTAAAGGTAAGATGAAGAATGAATGAGAAAACATGAAACAGTAAAGTCTTCAAATGTGCATGAAATAAACTTGTAGCACAGCAATTTATCCTGTTCTAATTCACTGGCAAGTTGTGAGAATACTGTGGAAGCACAGTATCTGGTAGACTCCTTAAACAATTATGAGCTTACACTTGGAGACGGGAAAATTGGTGTAGCTGCAGAGGAGGGCAAACAAACAAATCCTACTGCATTAAAGACAGCTATTAGAAGTCAGACACCACAGAAAATGGCAAATGTGGAATTTTCAGATGATGAATTTTGGAATAGAATCTTGAAGGACAATTACAGTTAGTATTTTTCTTAAAATAATGTACAGTGCCTGCAGAATTGAATACATGTAGCTTTTTTTTTTTTTTTTTTTTTGTAAGAACTAGAACAGAAGGGGGAAAATGCAGTGATTTCTGAACTGCACAATTTTAATATGTCTCCATAAATGTTACAGAGAATGGTGTTTCTTACCACAGAAGTGTAGTGAATTTTGATAAAATTACAAGGTAAAAATTGTATCTGACAATCTACTGTAGCATAGTAACATCTCTGTCTCAGTGTGGATATATGACTTACCCTTTACTGCATTTATAAACTTTTTAAAGCTGTGCTGCTTCTAAATGAATAACAAATGGTCATATAATGTTGAGAGACCTCAGATCTGCTCAATAATGAGTGACAACAATGCCTCGATGAATAAGATGTCAATGTACAATCCTCTGCATATTTTTTCTAAAAAGTTACAATAAATTAACAAGTACCACAGGGTTTGTATTTAAGTAATAAAATATTCCAAGAAACTCAAGTTTCACAGAGAAGTGCACTCTAGCTTCACCTAGTGAACCCCTATTTCAACACTTATTTCTTACTGTTTTAAGACAGATGTTTTCCTTACAATTCTAAGTTGAAATTGTATCCTATTTTAACATCCAGAAACTGAACACAGTTTCAGGGTGATAATTTTTAGTTCTAAATTTAAAAAGAAATGAATAGGTGTAACCCTTTCATAACTGATTTTGCGATAAAGAAAATTAATACTTAAATACAAAATGGGGAAAAAATTGTTTGCACACAAATGTTTGAGGTATTTGATCATCAATAGATCAGTATTTACATTGGAATCAAACATGCAGAATAAGTTGTGTGAGAAATTATATGTTCTACAGTGAGCAACTCTTGTTTTCTGAATGAAAAAGGGGGAAAGTCTCCAAGAATACAAGTAGGATGAAAGATAAAAATTAATAAAGTCAGGCAATTGAACCTGAAGACCTGAGCCACAGCAGTAACAGTGAGCAGCATCTGAGTTATTTTACCAGAATTGATTATCTGTTACACTACATTGAGATATCTAGATTATTGATCTGCAAGATTATGGTACTGGGGTCTCCCCACTTTTCCTCCAGGCACACGGAATGGAGTTGCAACAAATAACACTAAGTAAGGACTACTTTGTTATTGTTGTCACCCTTCATGTAGAACATAGCAGTTACTTTTTAATTTAAAATCAATGAACGTCTGAAAGGCAGCCTTGTTCCTTCAGCATAAATGAATCATTCGCCTTTGCCGAGCACAACAACCTGATCACCAGCCAAGGTGAGAGTGGGTATTTCTTTGTTGTCGTTGAAAATTCTGTACACCACAAATAAATAACGAAACGCCAGAGTACCAATTAAGCTTTGTCAGACCCAGTGTGATGGCCACTACCACCAAATATTCAGCTGACTTGTGACTCTAAAGAGCCACTTGCCTTTGCCAGAGCTTAACATTTGATATGTTATA